GGTATACAAGACGTACAAACGGAGAGGAAGTTCTCGGGCAAAAATAATGACAACTCGCTGTAATTACGCATATTGAACCGCGGCATAATTTCACAACGGAGGGAGAGAGCGAAAGGGCACTCTCGCTCGGCGTTCAAATTGGTCGTGTCAAATATTCGTTGTCAGTCCACCAGTTTTTATCCCCAGTTCGCATGCCCGTATACCGTAAATAATGCAGATTGCAGCGGCCTCGCTTCAAAGCAAGAAGAGTGACGACAGAAAACCTCGCTTATCTTTCGAATAAAAATGGTAATCAAAACTTAAATTATATCGCTATGCATAATCGATAAGAACTTTGTACGTTATACGTATAATAATAAAGATATTATATCGACATGTTCTCCGATCACCATCAAGTCTTGTCCAATATAACAATTCGGGGACATCAAAGATAATTAGAGTGAAATATCTTGTACTCGTGCATGTCATTCAATACGGCCCGGCTCATCGATCGAAAGCTTCTTAAACGAGCCACGTCGCCCAAACCCGGCAATCATCGTACGTATACCTACGAGCGAGTAATTGCTTATTTGCATAATGACTGCACAAAGTGCCATCTTACTTGATGGAACGCACGGATTCCTCTACCAAACTCCAAACTGGAAATCGCGCTGAGTTACACACTTACTGGAATCTTTCCCTGTCGAAACAGAGCCGCGAAAATCACAGATGCTGTATATAACGAGCGTTAAACAAACTAATGTACCAGGAATATTCACGAGGCAAACCGGACGACGTAATGAGCCACGACGGTCGAATAAACACGAGTGTCCATACATAACCGCGCGATCGGCTTTTAATAACCGCATCGTCACCGCGATGCGAACCTTACTCCAATTTTGTTGAGTTGATACACCCCGTGTAAAACAAGATCGTGCCATAATTTACGCCGGGCTGTAGACGCGCGCAAGCGCTCGGCGAACCGTCGCGTGATTGCGCGAGCGTTGCCGGTGGCAGAGGACATATGTAAAAAACGATGTACGTATATTCGGCATCCCACGTATCCGACCCCCCACGGATACATACGAATCGAAAATTAGATCCCGAACCGGGTTGCGAAAGCCTGCGGGAGAATGAGAGAGAGAGAGAGAGAGAAGGAAAGCCCGGTTATTCGCGGGACCCGTAATTGGAGTCCCGGAATCCTGAAATACGAGGCGGTCTTTGGACCACCTGTCGGAATGGATCGCGGAACGACCTCGAGATTTTTTTACCAACAAAAAGAGAATTCGCGCAAAATATATACGACTTGATCGAGGGTGCCGGGACCGATTTAAAGAATGTAGGTGTACGACTATCGACGAAATCTAAAGAAATATCGAGCGCCACGTGAAAGCAGTTATTGACGAGGTAACGGTATGTGCGACGACCAGTCGCGGGATTCACAATGGCTGAAAAACGTTGAATTTACTGATCGGCGAAGCTTGTCGATTCCGCATACAAGTCGTTGGCATTCGTATCGCGACACGAATCCTCGCTTTTGTTGTTAACTCGTTTGAATAAATATACGCGTTTCTCTTCGCAGCAAGACTGTCGTAAAACGGTCGTAAGAAAGCGTTCATATTGTTGCAGATATCGTGTTATTTGAGGACATCCGAACTATGTATGCACGGCGGAGATCTCAAAAATGGAGTGACCAGCTTAAGCGTTGGCGTAAACGTTACGAATTTACACCACTAGTGACGACATAATCCTACATTTACCAATGCTTAAATTCCTTCCTCTTTAAAATATTTATAAGAAACAATTTTTCGTCATAAAATCAAAATCAATGTTCAACGCTTTAATCTCATTATTTGTTATAGAATATCAGGTTTTAAAATTCTACTTATATTCAAACATGAAATCTATTTATATGTATAAAATTAGTAAACAAAAAATATTATTGATCATCTTCTTGATTGATTTATGTAAAAATATGAAGCGTAATCTGCTTTGCAATATAAAAATGCGCTTAAGCAATATCAAATATTTACTACAAACGTAACAAAACAGTAAAAAAATATTAAATAAATATTATCTTTACATTATTGTACATTTTAAATTAAAAAAAAAATAGTAAAAATTTCCAAGTTATCAGAATAATAAGCAGATAAGCATCAGCCAGTATATATTTATTGTTATATTATAACTTACATACATGTTTTATGTAACATCAAGAATATGATCCTTTATCCGCGCGTTTCGATCGCAAGAGCGCATAGAATCTAATCAGATTAAACGATTGTAGAGTATCGTCTATGCGGAAAGTTACGACTCGAAGCGAGGAGAGCCCGTCGCTTCGTTCTTATTTTCGTTTATGCCTGATAGCCAATCGACCTCGAAACAGTAAAGCGATGAACGAGCGTGCACTAAACCACGGTTATGCATTAAAACCGCAATCGCGGATAGTTTGTGATGAGAGGTGAAGCAGATGTTGTGGTCAACGAAAATGATCGACTGTTCGCGAAAGCCGTGGCGGGTGATCGCGTTTTCTTCAAGAAGGAGGAAATAAACCGTACAATCACGAATCTAGAATTCAGCGTTATAAAAAATATCTTCCCAAATGAATGTGTTTGATAAAAAACAACTGACCTAGATAAAAAATAAGAAACGCATATAATATTGTTAAATCTAGTTTTTAGATCACTTAAAACTTTTAGTTGCTAATGAGACAGAAAAGCTAACAAAAGAGCTTATTAAATACGACATACAGGATGAAGAGACTACCTAACTAGCTCGGCCTATTCAAAGATCAAAACAATTTACCGAGATAACTGTAACAGAGAACTCGCGCGCGTTGGCCAGCATTAGCGTGCATTGGTGGTCAATCTCGGCGCGAGATGATTGATAACTCTCTTGTAAGCGTTATCAGCCGCAGCGTGCACGCTGTTATGTTCACGTCAGGAACGTGACGCTGATAGACGGACCTTGCCTTTTCTCCTCTCTTCCTCTCTTTCTCTTCGGCTTTCCGGCCACATCCACGCGACTTGTTGCCTTTAATTCAAAGCTACATGTCGACGTGTTAAACGCGCCCTCCTTTTTCTACTCCGTTAGTCTTCGATCTTTCTTCGTCTTTTTTATCAAAGATTTTACACTCTCTGTCGGTTCGCTCTCCATCTTCGTTCTTTCAGGATAGATTTGAAGTATGAAAATTAATGACCGAACTGTGTCAAAGCTCAACGAAATAATCTCGTTTCAGTCATATTTGTTCATTTTTGAAAGTTATGCGTTGCGTGGAATAGAAGAGTGACATTTTTGCTCGGTTACGCTTCTAGGAAACATCCAAAAAATTATGAATTTCTCTCTCTCTCTCTCTCTCTCTCTCTCTCTCTCTCTCTCTCTCTCTGCTACCTACTGTCTTACAATCGTGAAGAAGCAACATTAACGACACATTTGTATGCAGATTCAAGCACCAACTCTCGATCACGAGCGGTTGCTTCTCCCTTGGACAACTTCCTGTCTCCCTTGGAAATCTTTTTTCCATGCTCACCAGGCTCTGAGCGATTGCAGTGTCGACAACTTGAAGTACTTGTAAACTCATGCGTAGGCAGAGTCATGGCACGGAGAGCCGCGTGACAAGAGCGTAATGAATCTACCTCTCTGAACGAGCATATTTCGCTCTGGGAAGATCTCAAGATAGAAACGCTGCATCGCGGAATTTGAAAACCGCACGCGATTAATGTCGCGACGAACGAAGGAGAAAACGAAGTCATCAGCCGGAGCAATTGAAGCGCGCATTACACGTCTCTTTCGCAGATAATCCCGCGATCAGCGAGACCTAATTATCCCGTTCTCTCGTTCGCAATTCCGCGAGCGTTCGCCGCTAATCTCCATTTCAACGTTTAAATTCGCGTCGGTGAATTCCGAGGGAATCGTCGCGATTAAGACCCTGAGTAGGAGCCGATCAGAAACATTCTGTACAAGCTTAAGATATTTCGCGATAACCGACTCGTAAGAGCCGACTAATGAGCGCGGCGCGAAAAGAGAAGACCGCTCGGCGGCGCGCGGTTATCTCGCTCGAAGCTCGCGTTTCAGCGAGGGAAACGGCTATGCAAACAGCCGAGAAACTGGTCGGGAATCGTTCGGCAAGTGTGCAAGTATTTTTCGAGAGCAAAATCATCGCGCGACGGGTCGGCCGCGAAGGTTCGTCCACCGGGGAAGATCTACCTCCACATCGCCTCCATCATGCGCGCTCGCCCGCGGCTGCCTATTCCCTCGCAATAAACCCGCGGTGCGATTCTCTTAATTACGTTCGCGCGGACGATAATCTCAGGCCTCGTTAAGAGCGGTGCGCGAGATCGCTGCCAGTGCACGCCCGAGATGAAACGATTTCAGCGGGATAAGTAGGATAGGCAAGGCGCGCGGTGCGCTTTCGGTAGGTGTGCGGCAGAAATAATAGCGAAGGACGCCTAATAAACCTGCGGGTGTCCCGCTGCGCGGAAACGGGACGCGCCGGATGAGGCTGTGAGCCAATTACGGCGCGTCCGCGCGTAGCGCGCCAAGATCTCGAGAACCGATTTATACGATGCTCGTGTTAACCGCATATATGCTCGGCCAAGACCCGTGCTCGCCTGAGGAAACTACGATAATGTGACTGAAATTGAAACCGTGAGAAGCAGTCGCATTTTTTCAAAGTCACATTTCAACGAAAACAGATTTGTGCGCTTGCATTTTTCACGTTTATTACGGTTGCATGTTTATTACTTGCATTTTTCATGTTTATTACGGAAATATAGAGTTCCAGAAACTCCAAGTGGCTTTTTTCGCTTCAATAATTTTCTCATATCTGTATTTTTCATATCTATATCTAATGTTAAATCAAAAAAATTATACGTTTATAATAAAATATTGAAATATAAAAATCGTGTAGCACAAGCAGGATTTAAATTTAATTAATTTATTATTTTCTTTAATATAACAATTGTTACGTTTTTTCTCTTAAATAATATCTGCGATATTAAATCTATTCTGATTTTTTACAGAAGCTCCTGGAGAACTTGGATGGGTGCTAACTCTAGTGATAGTATCTTTAGTATCAGCTGGTATCGGGGCGATAGTGATGTTGACACTTCTTCACTGTCGAAGGTTAGTATCATTTGCATAAACGCATATCTTTCATTAGCGTAATTGAAACAATTGAATACCATCTTTTTACAATCAATTTTCGAAAAGGATTGCCAAGTTTGCCTTTTATCGAATAAAAATCAATCAAATTTAAATCCTCTAAATTGAAATCTTTGTATATAAACGTTACTCAGTTCAATCTCCACGAGGATACTTTTCTCGAACATCTCGCTGAGAAACGGCACTTCGATACGGATCGCCGCACCGACAGATTCGCGAGCCGATCGCGGTTTCGCCTCACAATCGATCGGTAGATTCTTTTAAATTACTACTTACCAGCGATACATAATCGAATGAACCAATCGACATTAAAAACGAGGATGAAAAGCTTGCTAACTAGATCAATTCGATACGAATCCGGCAGGTGACAGACTAACGGCGTGTCGAAAGGACAAGAAGAGAATGGTGATGAGAATATCGTTATAAAAGGATCACGATTGCGGTCGGATCTCGATTAAAATTCCTGGGTAGCCAGGAAACTAGAATTTTCGTGATCGCAATCTTCTCATTCTCCTTTATGAAAGATGGTCTCCCCGTGGAAGATAATTTATTAAACTTGATTACCAACTTGCATGTTTCTTCATTCGTAATTCTCACGAAAAAATGCGCTCGTGTATGAATGATTTAAAGCACACGTCTCTGATAAATTGATGATGATAAGATGATATGTGAGAGTAGTTATCGTTGATTTATGTATATCACCTAATAATACTCGTAATTTTCATTTCTTTATATAATTAATATTAAGAATTAGAAATTATATGTATAACTCTCATCACAAAATTACAAAAAAAATGCATTTTTTATGTTAAATTACTTACTGTATCGTTGCTCTGCTGTCGCCCGATGTCTCCGAAGTCTCTTCTTCTTCTCTCAGCGGTCCTTTGACACTCACACGCGTTCACACTCACATGCGGCACACGCATTGCTCGCGCGCACACCCGAATACGAAAATCGCGCGACATTTTAAACGGCACTCCCGACGCGCATTTCACTATATTACGACGAAACGAATATATTTCGTAGCACACGCACAAAATTTATCTGTAAAATATAAATATATTTACATTACAATAATATCCGAAACAATACTGTAATTATAATATATAAATTATACATATAATTGTTATCTTCATAATACGATAACTCTAAATATTTCTCAATATTTATAGAATTTTTATTTGTTTCAGGATAAAGAGCGCCGGAGGCAGAGGTAAGCAAAATTTCACGTTATGCATATTTTTTGCAAAATTTTATTGCGAAATATTATAATATTAGATTTGGGCTGATATCTTTAACGAATGTAATGAATAACAAGTCTGCATACAAAACACGGTTTGATTGTCATGCAAACTTAAACCTCCCTACAAAAATCATTCGTAAGGAGACTGGTGTATGGTTACGATTAGGCCGATCAAAGTGAAGAGAGGTCTGAATTTACTGTCGGGATACGGACTAACCCTCCAATTATGTCGAATTAACATACCGTGTTCGCCGGGTTCGCAGCGGCGCTGACAGGTCAGGTTCGAAACGATTCCCAATTATCCGAGTTCCCTACTGAGTTACCAGCTCTCGGGACCCTTCTATTCGTTTATTGCTCGTCTCTTCATCATACGTTAATATATGACGTCCATATGCACAATAATATCTCGGATATCCTTTATGAGAGACCTCACAAAAGGTACCCTCAAGAACGCGTCTCGCTTTGTCATGACATAAATTTTAAGTCGTAGAAAAATATAGCAAAATGAATGAAGATCGTTTTAAAAAAAAAAACGTCAAAATCCAATGATATGCGATACGGAAAATTGGCCGAAATCTCTGTGACATAGTGCAAATTCTTTGAGATGGCAAACTTGTAAGTAGTGTTTCAAATATATTAACATATGATGTATATATTAACGTATGATGAAGAGACGAGCGATAACTGTCTTTACACGACATTTTCATTGGTATTATGCAAATAGCGTTAATAGCGTGGTGACGTAAAAAATTGTAGGCTACACTATCTATTTGCATTGTCCTCTTATCGCGCAATGTCTAAAGTGAGTGTCAAGCAACTTCTACGGTATGTTTCCCAAAAAGAAAAAAATAGAGCAACAATCAGTCGGATCGACAAACGTGACGCTTCGAAAACGTGAGACACGCTTCTAAGGCACTGTGTCTCTTATCGAGGAATAAAAGAGATACCTCTCTCTTTTCGATGTTCGGAAGTTGGCTCACGACATCGCGGTTACATACCGTCTCGGTTCCAGACGGTGAAGGGACTCGAACGAAAAACGGACTCCGTTACGAGGACTCCATACATTAACGCGCGGTGGCCTCACGATGTACTGGCGACGGGTACGTCGGCGCAAAAGAGAAAGAGAGCAACGCCATGGCGTCGAGTGTCAGCATCGATAGGAGTTTAATTAGTTCGCATAATGCAAGCCGCTCACGGCGGTATAAACCGCGCGTGTATGTTGGCTCGTTCTCCGTCGTGCGCAGCTAAAGGATAACCAGGCGACGAGATACGACGGACGGACGGACGGACGGACGGACGGATGGCTGGGCAACATAAAGGACAGCGAAACGCGTCTAATTAACTTTCTGATTTAAAATCACCCGCGGCACGATACGATCGACGAGCGAACGGCGGCGAGTCAGCGGGCGTAAAAAGACGACGAGCGAACGGGAAGACGGAGGGGGACACCAGCGTGCTACCGCCTGGGATGCAAGGGTCACCCGAATTAATTATCCGACACTCGTTTCACTGAACCTATTGAATCACCTCTGGGCACTATCGTAAGTCTTCGTGGCGTAATTTGTGCATAAACCTCTCGTTTACCTAAATACCGAAATTGGCTCAATTACTACTCATTATTTAAAGGACACTTTCAATTTCAGACTTGAGTAATGTGAAACACATTAAAACGGTATTTAGTAGGCTTCAGAAAGTTGCAAAAATTGAAGAAAATTTTTTGGAAGATTTTTTTCTGCACTATTAATATGCATAAAATGTTGCATATCAAAAGTATTATTTGCATTTTGAAAAAGTGTAAGCGGAAAGAATACTTTACAACGTTTGCAAATTGTTGACAAGTAAATGTATATTTTATTAATGGTAATATTATTAATCTTTATTCATCTCTTGCATCAAGGTAATCGCCCAGGGTGGTCCATGACGCAATTCGTATTTGCGACCCGCAAGAGAGCGCAATTTCGTCGTTCTCGCCCCAGGGGCGATCTCTAATCCGGTTTTAAAGCGGATAACTCTCTCTCTTTCTCTCTTTTTCTTTGCTAAGAGAAGCACGAAACAACCAGGATACAATTATACGTTAAGACGCGATGATGTATTGCTACCGCTTGAAACAATAGTGGTTGTTAATCTCATAATGATACGTATAAGGGGAAATTTCTCAATGACAAAATCTTCTTTTGAAATAAAATCTTATCATATTTTTTAATTAAACCACTTATTTTTTTCTCAAAACAAAGTGGTAAAAGTAAAAAATTTTCATTTAAAAATATTCATTTAAATAAAATATATATCAAATTCGTAAGAATTTTAAAATTTCATATTATTTTCAAAATAATTTCTTGCATAAAATATTCTTAAAGGCCAATCGCATAATATTTTTAATTCATCAAGATATTGAATAATTTATTTTTGATAATACTTTCGATATAAGGTTTATATCAATACTCAAGATTGAGTCAAAATACATTGGTGTACGTGTATTTCATAAAACTTTTCATCCATTGGGGATATTTTCAATTTTACCAATACCTCTTTCGCATGTAACCACAACACTATAAAACCTATTAAATCCGTAATTTGAATCAATAGCGGCCCTAATTGAAAGTTCAACCGGAGCTCGTGAAACATAACTTCATTATGTCGATATTTTATAAAATTACGGGTAATTGAATATCCCATCGGACAAAAAATAAATTAGTGAAAGTTCGTTAATAGTACATCCTCCCGTGCGTATGGATTGCTTTAAGTGCCACCGGGCGAGTAGCGCGTTAATGGACGGCTGAAAGAGGCTGCTCTCGCGCAAAAAAGAAAGGGGGTCCATACCATACACGTTAGATTGCCGCACGATCCTCCGGATACAATGACGACCGTGGAGTCGAGTAGAAAAGGTGGGTCGAATCCGTTAATCGGCTTATCGCGCATCGACTGGAACGATATTTACGATCAGCCGATAAATAATACGTCAAAAAATCGCGATGCTTGCATGCGCCCAATATGTGCATTCTTATGCACTCAATGTACAATTAGATGCAAAATCTTGTATCGTATACAACTGAAATTCTCTAAAGAGTCAAGAGTTCTGACATATTTAATCCGCGATATTTATTTTGGCGCAATAATGAAAGAATTTACAAGCATTTATAACGGTTCTTCGTACTTGAATTTTAAACAGAGTTCATCCTAATTAACTGTATTAAGTTCTTATCATAGGAGATCTCACACGTGGCACGTCAGTGCCTAGCAGGCAGGAAGTGACTTCTACGCACATCTTTAAGCTATCTGATCGTGATGAAAGAGCGTAACATTTGCCCCCCGTCGTCAGGACATGTTCCTCGACGTCAAGGCTTTCTCACGTGTTTCCTAATTAATATTCTAGCTATCTCCCCTAATAATTTGAACTATACCGCAAATGACGCGACGCGACGGCGTGGAAGACAAAACGGATCCGATTACTCAAACTTATACTTCGGAAGTGAGAACTGTGTCGCAACCGCATAAATTTAGATGTCTTTTAGAAGCATTACTATTGCCATTTTTCACACACACAAAAATGTTCTATTATATTTATATCATTTTTGAATAAAAATTTTTAGTAAAATTAACACAGGAAAAATTAGCTACAAACGCGCTTGGGCAATAAAAACCTCGTCATGATATAGTCACGCTGGAATTTTGTCATATCTATTAAATCGCAACGAGAACTAGTTCAATGCGGTTATGAAATGACAAAAGGCTAAATCATAGTGTGTCTTATCCGCTCCCGCTATAAGTAGATTAGCAGATTAGTCGAATACTAAATTGCAGGCCATAATGGTATTCGATAAGCATAATGTAATAAATAAATGCGATTATATTTTTTCCTTCGGTGCAATCAATGAGCATCGAACAGTTTGGACATTAAGTACAGTGACAAAGTAATCACATAGTTGTAGATGTAAAAGGTCTCTCTCCTTATTATTACGGCTTTAATCGCGTCAGATCAAAATAATAATAAAAGTATACTAAATCGAGCTAATGACTTTTTGACGAAGGTAAATATTGAAGAAATAGAATACCTAGAACTATGATTATATTTTGCAATTAGCTAAGTGTTTCATTATCCTATTATTGATTATGAAATCGTAAGCTAAACACAGTTGAGAAACACAAGAAGTAAAATTAAAATCTTGTATCTCCTTTTTAGGCGTCATAATTCAAATATTTTTTTCTCAAAGATTAATCAAGCGGAGACGTTTGACCGATCGATAAATAACGGAGAATTTGATTAATCGGCGAAAAAAAACAGGTTGAAACGCGTTGAAATATTTAATTCGTAGAAATATTATGAGTGAAAGTAATCATTTATAAAAATCATGGCTATAGGGCAAACAATCTGAAAGAATTATACGAGGTTAAAGTTATGCCAAGGCTAAAGTTACCAATTACCTCATCAGATATTCCATAAAAATGTAAGGTAGCGAAAGCGAACCGGGATCGAGTAATAAACGATTTCTCTAAGCCATCCATCTCAACCGTTTTGTTAAACGTATATCTCATGACTGCGTCTTTTTCGAAGAAGTATAAATAAAATAACATCAAGATGCAGACAGCATTAAACGCATAGAAATGCAGTAACGTGATAAACGAGAACCAGTCTCTATTTCTCGGCAAGCGACAGCGGCGCGCTTTTCAAAGCGGACAAACCCTTCGAGTCCAGTGGGACTCGTCGAAGATACGCGTACGTGCGCAGGATATGAGACCGCCTTCACGACGAGAGTGACAAAGAGAAGTGAGAGTGAAATAACGGAAGGCTCACGAGATTCCCATAATCTCGTTTTTTTTCACCTCCGCGGTATTCTCATAAGCCTACTTACTGTCGCGGCGGTGCTTCTGATCTACAAATTCCGAGATCCTTTACCGTTCTTCTTCCACTCTCGGCCTCCTGCCTGCCCCCCTTCTCTCTTTCTCTCTCATCCTGGTTTTACCACCCGCCCCACCCGCTGGTATAAACCAACCCTCAGTGCGATTCTATGAGAACCCATGACGGCGCGATGACAGGCTCACAATGAGGCCATACAGAAAACAGCCGGTTTTTTTTTCTTCATACGCGCATGTCATAATGCGGTGATTCGGGTCGCCGTCTACATACACGAGGGCAGTATTTATATCTACGCATGCGGAACTATACACGCGGCCGTAACGTATCGGAATTCGGAGCGACCTCACCTGGCACTTCACGTGCTTCGCCGCGAGAAACGCATCCCGTAGATTTTAAGATGGGTCCTGCGGTGCGGAAGGGTCGCGGGTACCCCGAGAAACGCGAGCCAGTGTAACCCGAGCGCGACTTTCGCGTCGACGCGCCAACGAATTTTTCCAAAGCAACGAACTGTGCGTGAGAGCGTGTCTTCGCTTTTTGTTCCAGCGAGCTGCTGCGGCGTCGGTGTGGAGGATTCGAGCGTACCCGATGCCGGCGGGTCCGCGGGGACGGGTGGCACCGGCGGCGGAGTGGCCGTCATACCTGATCGGCCGCCTCTCGAATTAGACAAATTACCACCTTATCACGACGTAGCGCCTAGCCCCGGTGAGTGTTATTATGAGACACTTGCTGTCCGGCGTTTCTCATGCATATGCGTGCGCGCCGTCGAGAAAGATCGCTGAGAAATGACCGCTCGTTACTCGCGTGTTCTCGAACACGTTACCTGTGTTGTGATCGCGAACGCGGTAGCACGTCCCTCGCGCGCTGCCCATACATCTCATTTCGCTCGCCAAAGAAAATCGAGCTTACGGAACCGGATCTCGTAACTCGTTCTCAACGGCGTTTTCAACTAGCCGATAGCTCTATAAAGTCGATGTTATGAAACGCGTCTGCACCTCGTGATAAGATAATGCTGTGTGCGAACTAAGCGAAAAATTATTACACTTATTTGATAACAGCAAGCGATAGTAAAATCCTAAATTTTTATTTTTTATACGATTGTAACGCGTTGGGTGATGCTTCAACGTTGAAAGCGGAAAAAAGATTGCTCATCTCGCGCCTACTTGACGTTTTAAATCGAATGACGCGGCGCTTTTTTATCATTCGCCTGCCATCTAATTATGTTAAGAAATATATATTAATTAACATGGATCTCAAGTCTCTGATGAAATCGAACTTTAGGGCATAATGTATGGTCGTGGCTGGGCTCTCGACGAGGCGGCGGCACCCCAGGAGTCGTCACGACGCCGCTCTCCCTTCCTCAGCATCGACGGGCGATGAATCTCCCGGTCGAAAATCATTACACCCACATGCAAACCGACGAGGCTCTGTACGCGGAACTGGACTCGCAGGCCGCGAGCTACGCGAGCGATTTACAGTTACAAATGAGAGGAAGCTCGACGTACGGTACGACTTCCGGCGGACAGGACGACGAATATCACGAGCTGGACGCAGCCAGATTACATCGTCATTACGGAGGCAGCGACGGATCGTTACACAAAGATACGCTTCGAACTAGGCACAGTAAAAGGTAAGTCAAGCGATCTTATATTTATGAAACTTATTAGATATAAGAAAAATGTGTGTTTTATGTTGCAAAATGAGACACGTTGTCTTAGAAATATCAAACTTTTCAATACTTTCTTTAGAGATTTACAATTTTCCGATTATCACATTGTCCGCTGATTCAAGTTGTATGAAAAATATTGCAATGTCATAGTTTTTCTTAGTCAAAAAATTAATAAGTTGATTATGAAATCGATGATTACGAAAACTGTTAACAATGCACAATTTATCGCTTCACGTCTTTCTAAACCGGTAAACTAGCTTTGTTCGGGCAATGTCTTCTAAGAGCGGTTAATTACGCGTTATAATAAAGCGCGCGTCCGACACGCGTCGCCGCATAATCGGCAGTTATCGATACGGTCGATACGCCGCGCGTATGTTAATGGCGCATTCCGGTCGAGTGGCCGCCGAGCGGTTATTGAGAGCCTCGTTATCGGATGCTTCCAGGATACAAGAGCCAGACTACGAGATGTACGAGAATGGACCGTCGACGCCAATACCGCCGAGCCAGCATCAGCTTCATCATCATCATCATCACCATCACCACAATCATCACCATCATCATCAGGAGCTGAGGATCGGCAGTAGGAACAGCGAGCATCCTTCGTACCAGAACACGGCGTACACCGGAAGCGACGCCGAGCCAGACGGGCCGACGCTGAGCAGTGCTCCCAGCAGCGCCTACTACAGCGATCTCAGCTCGAATTCGGCGAATCAACAGATGCCGGCCGCGGCGATATCGTCCGCGACGTCGACGGCGATGACGAGTCTGCACCTGAATCCGCAGAATCTCGACGCGCCGCAATACAGACTTGCAGCAATCAACGAGAACACAGTGCCTTCGGATTATATTTAAGAGACACTTTTTTTTAAACAGATGACGAGACGACGTTTGAAACGTAGTAACTAGCGAAACCAAGATGTTCATCTCGTGCGAACGAAGAGTCTTTGTGCTGATATTTATAATTAACACTATTTCTACACGGGAATGATAGAAGATTGCGTCGTAGCACTAGAAAAAACGTAGAATTGAACCGAACAGATCAGAGGAGACAAAAGATCGTGAAATTTTTCGTCACTGTCGTCGTGACTCGAGGGTTTCTTCAACAAAGTGTTTCACGGTGCTCAATTTCAAGTTTTGCCCATACAGGAGGAATTGAAAAGCTCGCGTTTGGTAAGAGCGTTGTTTAACTGGCGGATGTGTCGGAGACCGGTTCCGGGTAAAATCGATTTCTTGCCCGGCAACGCTCCACTTGCTCCTTTGTCGCCGCACTTTGCGGTCCAGTTAAGACAATCGACTCTCGAGACACGCGAATCGACGGATCAAGCGTCGCGAATCGATCGGCAGCGCGGCGTGTTCTCCTCTGCTTTTGCGCGCTAACAAAATACTAGGTATTCAATGTTTCGATACTTTTTTAAACGAAAGACAAGCGGAAGATAAACCGGTTGGCAGGTAAGTGACCAAAGCAAATCGTGCCGGCGGAATTAATACACGATTAAGCGCTATTCTCGTGACGTCGGAAAAAGCCTGCAGTCGTGACAAAAATTTTCACCGTTATGACGGCTAACGTCATAGCTGCCACTAAACGCGTGATTTCGCTTGTTAAAATAATGATAAATTCATGTTCGCGTTCGTTTGAAATGCATCATATTATAAGTGCGCGGATATTTCGAATAATTATGATGCCGACTCGGGCATGATATTCCCTTGAGTACACATGTAACGTAAAAACGTAATGATATCGCATGAAGAATCACGCATTGCGGTTTCCAATCAGCCATAGCACGCCATAAATTGATGCCACTCTGACAAGTTTCCGTGAAAGCTAACCAGTATCTGGTAAGAAAAATCGACCTCTATTATCTCTCTTGGAAAAGGAAAGTAAAATTTCAAACCTGTATAATGTAAGTGGTTAACGGCATAAAACACTGCCCTATACAAATTGCTGTAACCATATCGATGAGATAAAACTTAATTTTGCAACAAATTAAATAAAAAATGAAAATGACGGCTAAAAGTAACGAAAACCTGGAAAATTGCAACAGACAATGATATCTTTCGATATAGAAAAAATGGATTTCAATTTAAGCACAAATTTCTTATAAATAAATAATACGATAGACGGAAAGCAACTTGTACATATTTTATCTTAATCTTAACAGCAACACAAAGCTGACTTGTTATTTTCACGTATTAGATTCTGACGCATTAAAGGGTTAATCCGGGATCTAATCGCGCGGGATACTCGAGCATGATTCTAGACGTTATTGAGAAGAGAAGCCGCGCTGCGCATTCGAAATGCCTACACGATACGAATGAAATGAAGTCGTTTTGAAGAGCAGGTGCCCCGTAATTTGACGTTCGGAACTGCCAGTCAGTGCTCTCGGCTATATCCGTCCGTTCTCTAAGCAGTCACGCGTATTCACAACCAGCATCCTTCTCTGCTTACCGCGCGTAAATGAGGTTTCGTTTTCACGTGCGTGCCTCGATTACGGAAAATTGCAGAATTCCGTGCCCTGTCAAGTCGGCGGACCACGATGCTCGACAAAGCAGGAATGTATTATTCACGCAAAATATCTTTTCAAAACATTTTATTATATTATTATATTTTCCGTGTTTTTATTCTGCACAAACGTAATAGCGGACGTAATCATTCACGTATAGTATTGTTAGCGGCTGACAGATTGCATGTTAAATTTAAAATATCTTTTGCAACGACGTTAACTGTTGGTTGCTTTTTCGAATTTTGGTTCTCCGAATTTTATGCTAAACTATTCAGGATAACAAATTACTTACTCTTTCAGTAAAACGGAAGAAGCGCATCGCAACTGTGAAGTTTAATGCTCATAATAAAATTATCTTCATGACCTCGGCGTGTAATATGGCAACAAATTGTGGGAAATCTTTCTGGCGGCAATTGGATGCAACTAGTAGCGGACTTTGTTCGAGGAATCGCATCGAATCGGGTCCGTATGTCACGCGAGGGATTATCATTCAAGCACTAAATAGATTTCAGTCTACGGCGTATCAGTTTCAATCGTTTATCTTCGTTTCCCGATCGACGGCGGAATTAATTCGTCTCGCTCGATTCGGCGGGGAATCGTTTAATCGTCGCCGTCGTGTTCTCTTAATTACCTTCTCAGGCGAAGCCGATTGTTCCCTCGTCGGGACACGAAGCCGAGTAGACGCGTTCTCTCGCTTCGCCTCGGGATTCTCCCGTGCGCGTTTCACGTCGTTCACCTTTAACTCACCTGCGCTCACGCACGCATACCTACATCCCACCGACACATTCTCCGAAACACACGAGAATACCGCCGATGCTCTGCGCTCACCTAAACACGCGCGTCTCACCATAAATGCATGAAAATAACTTTAGAATCACTCGATTCTCTGAGTTTCCAATTACTGCACGTTTAACCGAGGAAAACGAACGCGGATAAACGAACGCTTGTTATATTGCTGGAAATTATTGCAATTTTTATAAAAAGAAATTAAATCTATTACCACAAAGTACCTAATCAACATAATATAGAACTTATTTAATTAACAAGATAATGGTTTCACACACAAAATCACTTTTGTATAATATTTTCTAAACTTTAGATTTTCGCATATTTTACAAATATCAATTTGCTAATATGTTAGTAATTTATAATAAATTAAAGGAACGTGTCAAATATATTATCTTCAAAAATAAGAAAGTGAAATCAATCTTTTACGATTGGCAATTTTCGAAATGGCCAAAACGCACGAATGCACCGAGGCGTATAGCCACGAGCTATAACGCAATGCGCAGCGCGTGCATTCAAACACAGACGCAACAATACGCTCCCTTTTCAGATACGCTATAATTAATTGCGCCCTTGCGGCCACAATGGCAGTAGGGAGAGCCGCCTCGACTCTCGGTGCTGCATTATACCGCCGAAAAAATCCCACGACTGCGCCACGTCGTCTTGGCCGGACGGGTAGCCCTTATCACGGTCGCGTTACGCGAGCGTATTATGGAATTCGCTTAATTAAAGTTTGCTTCGTTTCCCTTCGCGCGTCTTCCGCATTTGCGTCACGCGCCGAGATTTCCAGCGAGCTCGCGTGTTCAAGAGTAATTCGGAATTATAATCTGAAAGGCCGCATCTCGTAATCTGCGTTCAGGTAGATTAACTCGATCGCGTCGCTATTTATTGCGGAAAATCTCGTAACGACATAGCACTTTATTACAGTAAAATAGATGTTTCAATATTAAGTTCTCAAATCACACATACATCAGTCTATATCTTGCATAATACGAAATGTCTGATTAAAAAAAACTCCACCAAAAATATTTAAGGCCCATAAATCATTAAAAGATTAATACGAGAAAATAGCAATAGTTAAAAGTTAAAAGTTAAATTAAAAATTATGATTAACATTTATATCGGATGAAAATCTATTTTAGAAAAATAAAAGTACAAAATAACAAACCGATCGATTTTATTACCGTATAATCGGTTTAATTCCGTTTGTCATCACGTTTAGATTGCGAAAGAAACGCGTGCAATCCAAAAAGTGCACATTCAAAATTGTTTAAGAGATCCTTAACCATCAAAGGGTCATATGATCGTGGGAATTTGCGCGATTGGATTCTCGCAAATTTCTCTCGAGCCGAACTTTCTTTTATAATGTTTTCTGTTGCTACGACTCGCGCAAGATTCGATAGACGTCCCAGAACGATCGTAAGGATGGTTTTGGGCCCGCCCTGGCTGGACACACTGCGTGTTCGTACGAGCTACGGGATATATAAATTATACATGTAAATATACGGATGGCCAGCTCGGAGATCGAACTGCGAGATATCGAGATATGTGTTGGCGATTCCCGAGCCTTTCCCTCCCTTCTCGCCCCTCGAATCCGAGCTTACATATATGCACACATGTGCATATACAGGCAGACAAGAATTCACGCACTATGTTACGAATGACTCTGTTGCTCCCATGTATCGCGATTTTGACAATTGCTCTTGTCCTTTCATTCGTAAAATTGATTGCGATTACGAGATAACTACAAAGATCTTAAGGATTCTACAAGCACCATTTTTTTCCACTTCTTTATAAAACTTTAGCATAAAAGTTGTTAATCAATGAAAGAATAATTTTCCGCTATTTATTTAACGAATGCAATGCAATTTATTCTCTATCTATTCTCAAATCAAAGAAATATAGAAAACAAAATTTAATTAATTCCACTCTTTCGTTAACGTTTATTTTAATTTCTTATTTTTAATATCTTTAAATTTCCTATTTTTATAACTAGAAAACCAAAATTACTTAATTTTCAATTTGCATGTAAATAGAAATATTTCATTATCACAAAAATCTAATTCTTTGTGCTAACAGCAAAACTTTGGTGTCATGTACGATAAAAATTAATTGTACACCTGATCCGTGACTAATATATCTGTGTGGGAATATTTTACTATTGTATGTTGCGATTTATCTGACATATCTTCTAGACATCTGTTTCTTAATAATTTAGAGATTAAGTATTTAGTCACATGTTTGTGACTCTCAACGAACTTAATGAGTGCGTGAATACAAAAAAATCTAATATCCTTCCTTCTTTAAAATTATAATTAAGATTCGACAAATACACTAAAAGCTCAACAGAAAATATTAGATATTTAAGTAGTTACAAATTACAAAAAAAATAAAATTATTATATTCTCGAAAAATTTATATTTTATATCATTAAAGCAAAAGGTACTTTTTTGTCGAGCTTCTCTCTCTCTTGTGTAAAAATAGAATCTTACACATAGTTTGAAATCTCATTATACATATTGCATAAACAAGAAAAGTCAAGTGAACTTTAACCGTATTTTATCACATTTCGCAGACTTATCGCAAGTCGTCTTCATGTGGATGTCGGTTTATGACTTAATCATTCTAGTTTTATAATTATCACCAGACGAGATATTCCAAAGATCGTGGTAAAAAACATGTATTGCGACACTCGATCTTGGCCGCGATTTAATGATCCGTGCTAATAATTATTAGTTACCGCTAGTAATTCATTCCACGCATATGCGTATATTGCGAGTGCCTTATGTCGCAGCAAAGCCTGATTATGCACAATCTAGTTGCACTTTGAATACAGTCAATGTCAATATGCAAGCGAGTCACTGTGCATTTTATGTCATAGTTCTGCGAGACTTTATGTATGAGTGATGCATGGGAAATCGTTATTCACTCGGCTTATTCAGTCAGCGAAACTGCAACGATTTCCAACATTAATGTAACGCAAATGCACATGCTAAATATTTCTGTAGCTCTTGTATAAATTTTACTAAATTTACATACTGTATGTATATTGTAAATTAAATGCGAGGTAGAACGCGATTGTATTAATGTATAGAGTGGCACAATAAGTATCGGTCGCACTGAGACCCGTATTGCGTAAAAATGATTAACTGATAAAAAACCAAACGTATCATTGCGGAAGCGACAACTTATCTGCGAAATATTAATTTCGATCGATGATACGTCGACAATGAAGCGAAGGCGATACGATTACTGACATGAACTATTCTGCGAATGGATTTCATATCGATCGGCCGATACATCTTCCATATGCGCCATGCAAACGTTCCTGCGATTATTGTACAAATTGCCAACGCACCGCGTATTGTGATGTAACGTTTTAACACGTCGACGGACATCCGAGAACCGCAAAAATTAGAAAAATACTATTATATTTTATTTTATTTTGTAATATATTCTGAGATGTAAAAAGACGTGTTAGAGCGAAACGTTTTATATAAATAACATAAATTAAAAATGTACTGATACAATTTTAATATCACAAAATAGATTTTATCATAGCAATTATAACCGTCCTAATCTGTCGGGATACATATGAAATCTATGATAAATCAGTTTTAAATTTTATATATTTTTATATATTATTCTTCTTGTCCCTCTCCTGGTGAGAATTTTAAAACATTAAAAATAGATCTATATTATTAGTATTGTAATAGAATCTCAATTTTTCAGAATTAATTCAATATGAATGTAATAAATATTGATAATAATGTGAAAATATATTGTTGTCATATGTATCCCATTAATAACAAAACGTTAATTAGTTCAACGTTTCTTGCCTAAGCAAAAGTCACAATGAAGATTAGAAAACGTAACGTTACGAAAGTTTACATTGTGATAAGACTTGCCGATAGAGATATCGTACACGTGATCGAATTAGTTCACATACCGGATTATTCCGAAAAAAAATCAGTACCCATGTCAACGAGATATTAGACGAAGCGATATGACCGATAGGAATCTAGTAGCGATGAAAGGAAGACACATAGCGGAGATTAAATTGATTTTCTCCCCCTCCGCGGCGTTATATCATTCGAGTCCTTATTTCGCGCGAGGAAAGGCTATTCATAATCCTCCGAATGAATGTAAATGTTGTTCCGATTGCTTATTCATGCGGCCGACGAAGCCGTATTCCGACAATCGCCCGCGGGCAGAAATTTCGAACCGGTGTTTCATATGTACTTGTAACATTCTGCTCTTGCCTTCTCTTAAAATGCCACCTACCATATGATGTAAATCAATACATTTTTGTTAGAAGAGATGCGAGCATATCGATCCATCATTTCTTGCAATTTGTTTGCAATAGCGATTCAATTGGTCGTGACAAACGATAACGTCTCTTCGAAAGATCCTAGTGTAAATTACATATTTAGCGCAAACTGTATATAAGATCACAAATTGTAAAGAGACGCACTATTTTATTATTGTATATATTGTAATCTGAGATTTCATCTAATCGAGATCTGCATTTTTTTAAATTTGAAATTGTACAGCAAATAAAGAAATATTTCATAATACATATCTGCTTTCTTCCATAAAATATTTTCCATTAATAAAAAGATATGCATAATATAGATATAAAATATAACAAATTCATATACAGCATACATTGCAACAAACAAGAAATTAAAATTCTAAAAATATGCTTTGTCATTAAAAAATCATTATTATTTTTATTAGATACTGATCAAATAATATAAAATCTTCACAAAATCTTTCGCAAAAATTTTATGATTATCAAGAAAAAAATTTTTAAATGAATATTTCAACGTTTTTCATTGATGAAAGAAAAAAATAGTTTGATAAAACGTATGCCATAAAAACAAATTGATTATGTCAACTACTATAAATGCTATTTTATCAATAATCACGATTCTTTGCCACTCCAACAAATTTTGCATACAAAACTGTGCCTTGACAATTCATTACTTTCTTTGAAAAAGACTGAATTATTAAATTTATAAATAAGATTAGATAAAAACTATATCAATGTCCATTGAAATAATATTGAATCTTATATATTCCCAATTTTTTTTTATATTTCTGACTTATAACTTTTAAATTACATCACGTATGCATCAACTACGTTTCATCAATTTAATTATGCGACACAACATGATACTACTAATAAAAACGCTTCAATATTCTTTATAATTTGTTTTTATAAATTTTTTTCTATAGATATATCTGTATCTTCAAAATTTTGTAATCTTACAATTGTAAAAATAATAAATTGCATACAATTTGTACAAAATTTAAAATTGTCTGTTGTTAAAATAAAGAAAAAATAATTCTGCATTTTACATTTGTAAAGTTGCAAACTTCGGATAATTTAATTGTCAAAGCACCGTTTTTAGTAACGACATAGCAAATAAACAAAGAGACCAATATTAGATAATATCAATATTTTGTACAATTATAATGAATAAATTACTCACCATTTGTTGAACCCGAAGAATAAGTACTCTCTCTGCATCTGGTAACATTCCATTAATTGGTTGTCGAACTCGAAGTAAATATCTTTTCTGCACCTGAAAAAAGTAATATGTTAGCTGTAGTGTATTATGCATTTTATATGTATTAATGATTACGTATTATTTAACAACTTAATTTTTCAATTTATAAAATTATTCTTACTTTAATTAAAATAAAACTATGAACAATAAACTACGCAAATATTTATTTACAAATTTGAATAAATATTTAATAAGTGGCAAATTAATATTGTCACAAATTTAAATAATGAAAAATCATTGGGCGCGTTCAGCAGAACAAATCGCTTGGTAGCAATCGAACATGATTGGCTCTTACTTTTAGAACCAACAAATCAACGTTAAGTGTTGACTAGACGACAATTCAGCAGTTGTTCTGCTGAACGCAGCCATTGTAAATACTCACTGGGTGCATCCAGTACGGCAACCGCTCACTGAGCGGCTAAGTAGCGGCTATTCGTGAGCGCTCGATGAGCAGCTTTTCATGTACTGGATACATGCTCACAGCTTTTAGACGTCATACAACTATATAACCTATTTTATGACAGATAGGTAAAAGTTAAAAGCAAAATTATATTTTTTGATTTAAAAATAATAATGGATCGACAAAATATTGTTACGCTTATGTTTAATTAAATTATATATTTAACTTACTCTTTCGTAACTTTTCATGTATATCAGCTGTCTCTACTATATTGTAGATAACACCCTCAATAAGATATTGACTTTCTATGAAAGCCATTTTTTTCTATAAACAAATATTTTATTATTACACACTATTACACTAATCTATAATATCCATTTATGTATGTAATAATAAGTAAGGATAATAAGTACATATAATAGCTAGGTTGCAGGTTATTTATTTACAATTGTTACTTACGTATGGGAATTTTCGTCTTTCTTTATAAATTTTCGCGTTTTCCAGGACGTAATATCACACTTTTTATGGAAAATAATCGTTTCTTTATAGTTTTTCTAAAGAAGTTCTCGGAGAAAAGGTTACTTCGAGAACCTCTGTAGCAAATTATAAAGAAAAGATTATTTTCCATAAAAAGTGTTAATATTACGTCCTGGAACGCGGAAATTTATAAAGAAAGACGAAAATTCCCATGTAAGTAACAATTGTAAATAAATAACCTATCATTATACTGTCTTATAACCTTTTATTGACAAAGCGAAGCGGGAATAATAAGCAGTGAGCCGAGTGAGCGATAGTGAGCGACATAAAATTACGCTCTCAAATATGGCGACCGCTCACGATGAGCGACTTAAGGAGCGCTTGCATACAGTACACAAATCTAGAGAGCGTAGTTAGCGCTATTGAGCGCTCACTGAGCGATTGCGGTACTGGATGCACCCATTAGATATTGTAATTTGCTTCATCCGCTGCTGATTCCATACTAGATTACTTTGCATTAATTCCATTAAACAACTGAGTACGCATTTAATTACACTAAAAGTTATATTAAAAGTTAACCTATATATTTTCGAAAATTGCGACTTTATCGTGCGAATTTGTCACTCGACAATATACGTGAACACGAAATGAAACGCACTTTGAAACAACGCGTCTATGCACATAAGTAATAGATTTAATTCAGCGGTTTGTTTGATACACAAGTTTAGAATGACCGAAGTAAGCGACGATTTTCTTGACAATCACGTAAAGGTCGTCAAGTACAAACAAATATCCACAACTACATTTTATCAATTTACTTGCAACGACAACATGCTACATCTAATAAAAAGGACAAGGCGCACTTCGAACTCTTCTTTCATAGCATGTAAAGATTATTTTTGCATGTATGGAAATGAAAATTTGTACTCACTAAACATATAACCAATTTCAATCTGCGATTTGCCCGCCAAATAACCGACATGATCTAATAACAAAACGTCGTTAATTAGAAATATATGCAATAGTTAATACATTTTGAGGGACATTCTTTTTCATTTTAATCGACATTCCTAACAAATATTTGTACTCATGCACCTTTAACAACTATAATACGCAATTAATTACGAAGTTTTCTTGCACTGCGTCCGAAGCGACAAGAAGCGACCCGACATTTTGGCGGTTGATAGTGCAGAAAGTGTAATATACTGCTTACTAAAAAACAAATCTAATGCGCATGCGCTGACCGGAACTAGTTGTTTTGGACATGCATGCTTTTCAGTAGTGTGATCAATAACGTTTCATGTGATATTTTTTATAAAAATTTAAAGATTCATACAGAAAAGTTTATATATAAAACACTGAAAGGGTGGAATATCAAGAATTAAATTTTTTAATGGTTGTGCCATGAAGTTTAAAAATCTTTTTAAGGTTATGTTTTGAACGTGGGTGTAGCAATGTGCCTCTATAATTATATTCACTAGTACAAATAAAAAATATATTACACACTTATTAAACTTATTTATAAGTGTGTATCATAATAAAATTTTCTGTTGACAAAAAAGAATTAAAAAATTATAACAATGAAGTTTTTCACTAACTCTATAGCACGTTGTGCTGCAAGAATTGGTACATTAAGTGGATTTGAAAGAATGCCTGATGTTTCTTTTGAAACACCTTTACTTCTTGTTTATACAAAGGTATGGAATAAATTATTCTATCTAAATTATGTATATATTTTTTTATAAAGGAGTTAAAACAAATTTTAGAGTGGCAGTGTACCACATTTGACGAAAGATATCTTTAAAATGGTAACATCCGAACAACAATTACTGTCTGTTTCACTTCCTTCTACTATATTAATGGCAGATATTATTAAAGAGGTTGATACTTCTTTTGCTACTTTCGTCAATATGAAGGTATAATATAAATGAACAAATTAATCATCTATTAATGTCATCGCACTCATAGCACTATTAATTATTAAAAAATTTTGTTTTAGGAATATATAAACTTTTTATCAATTCAAGATCCTGCATATACTACAAATTCTGGCTTTCAACAATTGGATTCTATTTCAGTTTGGTCTAGAATAGGAAGAATGGTTCTTACTGCTAATAAATATATGGAGCTTGTAGAAGCTTATAAACCAGATCTCTATGTTGCTCTATGCGATGGAGATACTAACATTAATAGTAGTGCAAAACGAGTATCAAAGGCAATCATTCGAAGTAAAACTTTGCTAGAACAATGTTTGAATATGCATCTGAATTCAGATACATTAAAATCAAAAGGAATATTAGGACCAGTGGAAGGTGGTTATAATTTACAAGCCAGGGAAGAGTCCATAGATTATTTAAAAGATAAGCCTTTGGCAGGATTTGTAATAGATGGATTACACAATAACGGTCCAACTGTACAGAATATTTCATCGGAACAAATTAAACAAGTAGTGCACCATACCATTGTAAATATCAATTCCTGATACTTAAAAGATTCATATATCAAAAATTCTTTAATTAATTATGCTATAATACTTATATAATAATTATAGAATTTGTTGCCTACTGATAAAGTAAGGGTATCAATGGGTTGTTGGAATCCAGTTACAACACTTGATCTTGTGGAGTTAGGAGTAGATGTATTCGATTCATCTTATCCTTATGTAATTACTGAGCAATCACAAGCTTTAACTTTTATGTGTGATCATGACGCTTGCGAAAATGATCAATACGCAATATCAGTAGCAGAAAAGAGGTAATGTAAAATATGATAACACACCCTTTGTGTTATTCATATCTCTGGATATATATTCTTTTTTCCAGATACAAAGATGAGTTTTCTCCTATTTGTAAAAAATGTAAATGTCTGACCTGTCTGAACCACACGAGAGCGTATCTCCATCATTTGCATCATACAAAGGAAATGCTTGGATCAGTACTTTTAATGATGTACGTATTTATAGATGTACAAGTTTTATTAATCTTTTATGATTTGTTAATAACTAATTTTCGTTTCAGACATAACATCCATCATTATTTGGAATTCTTTACTGCAATTCGTCATAGTATAAAAAATGGAACATTCAATCAACTTCAGACAAGAATTCGTTTGAAATATGCAACTACTAAATCTGAATGTACTGTTGCATAACTATTGCATTATTTTTAATAAATTATTTTTACTCTATGTAATATCTCTTGCATTATACTTTATTTGAATGAGCACAAACTATTCGGGCAAAAAATTTGGATCGAGATAATTATAAGATGAATTACTGAAACTATGTGGAAAATAATCTAAGTCATAACTTTTAGTACATTGTGGTGGTTTGATGGAAATCAATCTATGGGATGGGTCGTGTGTGGGATTTTCTGCTCCCAATTGTGCTACTGCACAATCACCGCATAGATCAATTCCACTGTGACATTCTGCACAATGCCATCTTGTACCTCTTAAAGGTTCTTCACCACATATTATGCACTGTAGATGAAATATTGTTGATAAGAAAAAGTTTTATATGTATAATAGTTATATAAAATGTTTTTATACGTACTTTGTATCCAACATGTTTATACGCAGAAGACGAATGCTGCTGTTCCTTTTCAGTTTTCACTTGGCGCACTAAATTTATTTGCCTCAATTCAGGATTATCATCAACTCCTCCATTTGTCGCATCATCGTCCTAAAAGTAACATTATTAATAAACCGAATTTTATAAATGTTTACATATCATATAAAACAGTAGTGCACAATATTTACAGATTCCTCTGCTACAAGTTGTTCTTTGTTTTCATCTGATATATTAAAAGAAATGTCTTGATGTGGGAAGAATGTTGAACGCTTAAATAAAAAGTGATTATTACGTTGATGTTTATGAGATAAACCCTTCTTCACATCTAATTTTACTTTAGGTCCTCTTCCTGGTATGGGCAAACCTGCCCTCAATAGTTTAATAAAGTATTTTTGGACTCTACTAGACACTTGCTTAGGTGTTCGATTTCCTGCAAAAAGAAATTGTTAATATCTTACTTAAAAAGCAATATTTGTTTTTAATATACCTAATGCATTAGCGATCTTAGTCCAGCGTCTCATTTCTATTTCTTCAGGTGGATATTCAACTAATAGTTCTTCTAATCGTCTTTGTTCTTCCATTGTCCATAATTGATTGAAAGTTTCAGGCTTACTTTCATCAAAAGCACGACCTCTAACTAAAACCTGTTATATAAGATTCTTATTAATAAATGTGGGAGGAATATTTGTTGTTACAAATATAATGATAAGATAAGACACAGATAAAATAATTCGCATACCTTTCCATTTTCCTGTTCATTTTTAGGTTGCACCTGAGGCAATATATGACCATGTCTAGTTTGTGGTCTCAGACGTACATCTGGCAATGTAACGTTATATTGTGACCAATCAACATAAGGAATTTCCGCTACCTTTTGCGGACCAGGCAGTTCCGGAAGATCACCATTTTGCAATTGTGCCACGAATGATATTGGATCTTTCATCGCTTTAGATCGTGCTAACATAAGTTTGTCTAAATCTTCTATAGCTTGAGCTCTTTGAGCCTCAAGAATAACTATCGTTTTTAAAAAAGCGCTATAATCTTTGTTACCCTTTAATGCCAAATGATCAGATTCGAAATAAAATTCATTTTCCTCTTCATCCTGACACTTTGTTTCTTCGTCATTCATTTTTTATGGAAAATATCATTGATGTTTTTTACGATAAACAACTACACATTGCAGACCTAACCTTGCTGTAACCTCGCCTAACCAAGTATCACACAGAGAGTGACATACATACGAAAATACATGTGCTGCGCGGAGCGCTTGTGCAGTTCTCTAATATGTGCGCATAAGTCGTATCTCCTTGCTTTTTCTTCTTGCAATTAAACATTGACCTATAATAGAGGTTTTTTATTTAATTAATAAAATGCAAACTTGAAACTTTTCGCAAATCTTTACCATTAAGTTATTATATTTTATATTGTTAATAAGTTAACTCATTTAATGCAATATTCAGTTTATGTAAAAATATAAAGTAAATAACACAAAGAATTAAAATAATTTTTAATAAATGTTATTTTTCTCTTTTATTAAATAATTTTTTAGAATAATTTAGATTTTTATAAAAATAACATATACTTGTAACACAGTTCTATATACTTATTCTATTAATATTTACAGAATTGTATAAAATAATAATAATAACATAAATTAATATAACTCTATTGACAGAAACATCTGTATTGCAGAAATATCTGTATTATTTCTCATGAGAGATAAAACGATTATTCACTTATGCCCAGTTCCACCAACGTAGATTAACTTTAATCTCGGTTTAACTTATTCTTCATCTTTTTCTAATTCTTAGAAGTAAAAAAAGATGACGAGTAAGTTGAACCGAGATAAAAGTTAATCTACATTGGTGGAAATGGGCATTAGAGTGTAATAGTAGTTCTAACTAACGATCTAGAGTAACCTAATTTATTATTTCCATTATGTACTTTTTCTATAATCTTGCTCTACACAGTGACTATTTCAGAATTTCAGACAAAATTTTATAAAATATATTTTTTTAAATCTTTTAACAAAATATATTATAAGTAAATTTTTAATGTTATTAATGTGTAAATATAATTCTTTAAGAAATCTATAGCATCAAAGATTTATGTACATTATAAGACTGGAGTACATTTTTATTAGTTTTAAATAGAAAACAATTTCACAAAAAATTAAAAGTGATAATAAAAATTATAGCATATGTATAATATATGTTTACGTAACATTTGTATGAAACATTTAGTCAACAAAAAAATATTTATTTTTTAAATGTTGAAATGCCATATTTGCAAATATTCCATTATGTAAGGTATACAAGAACAATAATAAAAGAATATTGCTGATATTAAAAATTGACGAACGATCTTTTACGGAAAAATAAAACAGGAGAAAGACTGATCTTTTAAGAAATAGTGATGAGTAAGAAACAGTCATGAAAGAATACGCTATAAAATACTAATTGCAAACCTCTAGTCTTTTGTCTTTATCCTTTGTTTTATTTAGTTCTTGAGAAAGACATTAGATTGTGAGTTCATAAAGTTAACGTATTAGTAAAAGAATATTTTAAGGGAATCTTAATAGTACAATTATTTGAAATCTAAGAATGATAAATAGACATCGTGAAATATTACGGAGTAATTATAAAGACATCGAAAATAACAGAACTTAAAGTAGAATTGCATTATCTTATCTATTTATCATTTAGTTGCAATGATATTCTTATAACCACTTAAGGACAACTTAAGTAATTAAATGGTTGCTGATTGATTCGAACAAGACGCAGGCAAGCTCATAAAATTTGGGCAAACAAACCGTTTAACATCATTCACTTTATTCAAACGAGCGACATTTAGTACGGCATTTAACGCTTTACAATGTCGCAGACTCCGTCTTCTAGCAATTAATGCAGATTCTTTCCTCTAGTCCTTCGCCTTTTGTCCTTTATCCTCTAGTTCAGTGACCCTTAACCAAGATAAATATTGGTGTGGTTGAATCGTAATGAGGATGAGTATCTTCTTATCTGGATAGCGCGTGCGTGTTTGCGAAAATATAAGCGACAATCTGACCCGTTAACACTTCAGTTTCAATCCGGAGCTCTGGTAGAGATAAACCAGTCATTCAGTCATCCAATAATTTTTCAGTCGCGTGGTCGAGCTCGTTGCTGCACGGAGCGCCGATGACGAACTCACGATTGCCGTCCAGAAGTGAAGATAAAGACCGCCACTGCCACCGCCACTACCGCCTTCGTCGTCGACTGTGAAAAGAGACCTGCAGTCCAAGCAATGTGTCATTGAATTTTGAATCACTGTCGACGGTGACGACGAATCGGTGCAAGACGTTCTGTGCTCTTATTCCTCGTTTTAATTTTGACACAAAAAAAAATGGCACAAGAAAAAAAATCAATCGCCGGGAAAATCGAGTTGAAAAGAGAACTGGGGCTTTTCAGTGCGGTCAGTATTATCCTAGCGGTGATGATTGGTAAGTTAAACTATTGCTTGAAAAATTTAATTTTTGCAAATATTTCATATATTTAATAAATACAATTTCACATATTTCACACAGTTATAATTTCCATAAATACATTTGTAATCTAACTTCCTATATATTATTCTATTCACTTTTGCATACATTATACATTTAGATTCAATAAATAATTAAATATAACTACACGTGTGCGTGTACTTTGTTCGTTGTTGCGTTGTGTTGATTCTAGCATAATGTTCTGTGAGGCCGTGAGTTTGATCGAAATTATGGAATTGCACGAGTTGCAACACGTGTAGACGATAAGGCAGAAATTTATAACTTATCATTCTCTTTATTTTATTTGTAGATCCTCGATCGTTTTCATTTGCATTTACATTCGAGAGATAAGTAATGATGTGGTATAAAGAAGGTGATCTCGTTTAAATCCGTGGTGTATTTACCGCTGCATCGTTCTATAAAAAGATACCGCACAGTACGCGCTCTTATTGCAAGTCACAAAATTATTTTTGTATGTATTATTTGGCGATACAATAAATAATTGCAAACTTTGAACCAAATTTTAAATATATATTTATAGGAGAAAACTGTGTTAATTTAACTGTATTATTAATTAATTAATATGAATTTGCTCTCTATTAAATTGAGAAGCAAAGCTTTTATAAAGAGTACTTTTTCTAAAAAAATTTGGAAAAACTTGTGTTATTGAAAGGAATTATGTACTAAAAATTGTTTTCGAAATTTCTGTTATTTACAAAATTATGATCTTTGTATAAATATTTCTCAGTTGAATAAAATTATATAATGACATATCAAAAATTCATATATATTCTATATATATTCTATTTCCTTCCAATCGTTTAAATCATTAAAATAATTGAAAGTTTAAAATGATAGTTTATTTTATAGAAAAAATTTAAAAAATTGTTTATTTAATCGAGTGGACAATAGTACAAGAATGTAAAGAATAAAATAGAATACATAGTATAAACAATCAAGTAGAATACAGAGTGTAAAAAATAATAGTGTATAAAAGAATTTATAAAATAAAATTTGTAATTAATTTTTGATCTTTAAATATTCTTTGGTGTGTTGCAAATGTGATTTCCAAATTTAACACAACACAATATTTTTGGCAACAAAGAAAGTCACTGCCCGAACTTTTCCCCAACTTCGTATTAATAAACTGTTTTTATTGTTGAAACTTTGTTTTCGTTCTGACCATTTTGCCGTCGTCATAACTGACCGAGATATATCATATGCATATACATATGTATATCACGCAAATTACATATTGTTTGTAGATAACACTTAATCGCGAAGTCATTTATCGTTCGATGTTTCATTAGAACGTCACGACAATAATTAATAACGAATTATAAATTACGGTACTGTCGAAATTATAATGATATACATACTTTACTGCAAAATGTTTAAGAGTGGTTAACAGTAATTGCATAATTGTGTGGGCCTAAATAAGAAAACGCTTTTATACATTGAAGCTCTCGTATTTTAACACTTGATTGATGGTATCCGGAATTCTTTCTCACGCGGTCTTAGATACCGGGTGTTTAAAAAAGTCAAATATATGAAAATATAATATTCTTTTTATCGATAATCTGTCAGCAAATGGAACAGTACCTACTTGAGAGTACATTTTACTTAAAAGCATTATCCATATGCATAAATATTTGTAGTTTAATTAAAATTGATTGAGTTTTATATATCAATTCCAAAGAATAGTTCAAAAGAGTAAGATCATTGATATTATATCTGTGATAAAATTCTACTTGCAATTATCCGATATAATAACGTCACAAGTAGAACGTAGCATATCAGTCTTTTGTAATATCCCGATCATCTAGATATCAAAATTGTTATCAGAAGTTATTAATATTAATTTTGGTCACACGATCTGCAGATGACCGAAATGCTTTGTACAATTAGCAACTAAAAGACATTATATTAATCAACGTAATAATTATACATACAATTAAAAATATTATAAAGGTTAATCAAGGTTAATCGGTTATTCACGTCATGAAATATTAACCAACTGCTTTGTCGTAGTTAGCTGCGCTGAACTACTATTAACCGCAAGTTTATTGTGTCTATTATCTAGGTTCCGGTATCTTTGTGTCGCCAACCAGTGCCCTTGAACGATCAGGATCCGTGGGATTTTGTCTAATCATCTGGATCAGTTGCGGCGTGTTATCTCTATTTGGTGCGCTGGCTTTCGCCGAACTGAGTACCGTGGTTCCACGTTCCGGTGCCGAATATGCATATTTTATCGAGGCGTTTGGACCATTACACCAGTATGCCGGTCAGATACCGGCATTTATTTGTTCCTGGGTCTATGTGATGTTGCTACGACCGGCAGAAGTAGCGGTGATCACATTGACTTTCGCAGAGTACAGCGTGCAACCATTCTCTAGCTATCTCAATTTGCCCAGTGATTCTATGATGTCGTTGAAGAAACTCATAGCGATCATGACATTGGGTGTGATAACTTACATCAACCTCGTCAGCGTCAAGCTCTATGTGAGAGTGCAGAACGTGTTCACTGTGTGCAAAATACTTGCCTGCATTGTAGTGATCGCCGGTGGATCTTGGTGGCTGGCTTTGGGACACGTAGAGCTCCTCAACGATCCTTTTCGCGGCACTACCACATCGGCTGGTAACATCGCTTTGGCCTTCTACAGCGGTCTCTGGGCATACGATGGATGGTCCTCGGCCGCAATTGTTACCGAGGAAATACAGAAGCCCGAGATCAATATCCTCAGAAGTACCCTCATCGCAGTACCAACCATCACTATTCTATACGTATTCATGAACTTGATGTACATGGCGGCGTTGACAACGCCGGAGATGGTGAACGCACCAGCGGTGGCAGTTCTTTGGGCAAACCGAGTTCTACCATCTTGGATGGGCTTTGCGATACCGCTTGGCGTGGTATTGTCAACCTTCGGATGTGCCCTCAGTGTGCAATTCAGCGTATCCAGGCTATGCTTCGTCGCCGGTAGGGAGGGCCATGTGCCGCGCGTCTTCAGCTACGTACATATGGAGAAGATGACACCGGCCGCAGCCGTGATTTTTCAGGCCGTGCTCTCGCTATTGTGCCTGATGTTGGGCAATATAGTTGCCCTGATCGAATTCGCCAGTTTCCTCATGTGGGTGTTCTATGGATTTGCGATGGTATCGCTCCTAATTCTGCGAAGGACAAAACCAGATGCTCCCAGACCGTACGCCGTGCCTATCGCGATACCTTGGCTGGTGTTGCTAGTCTCGATCTTCCTTGCAGTGCTTCCGATAATTTATGAACCTTCGCTAAAGTACCTCTTCGCACTTGCATTTATTCTGTTTGGTATTGCCGTATACCATATATATGTATACAAGAAGATAAAAAGTACTTTATTAGGTGAGTGCAAATGGATGAAAAAATATGTGAAAGTTTGTATAAGAAATTTACATGTATTATTGCCACAGTATACTGTGTAATTTGCTTTATCTACTATTAATAGAACATATATTTACGTTTCTCTTTTTGCAGACAAGCTGACGTACTTCATACAAGCATTGTGCCTAGTTGTCGCACCAGATAAACAAGACTGAAATATTTGTATATAAGTACATACTATTTTGCTCACATAATACAATTTTTTCCTGTATATGTGCATTTTATAATTCACAAAAAATGACATTATTTTGTACATTTTTTTCTATGGATCAAAATGAATTGAAAATTTAATCTTTGTATAATACGTATGAATAGAATGTGACAATATTAGAATAATAATGGTTTGTATTTTATATCTATCGATTGTTCAGCATGCATTTTGATATCAATGATATCAGAGATCAAATGTTGAGGATAGATATGTAGGAAATTTTTACACATGTGTTTGGATTTTTTTTACCTTAGCTTTATTTTTTATTCTTTATTTTATTTATAATCGAAAATTATTTTAAAGGTGATTGTAAGGTGCGCAGTTACGGGTGTTTTCGTTAAATATGTGTCAATGTACAATATCAGGATAACGAGCGAAAA